CCGGAGCAGTGGGGTTGAGGGATGCAGCCAAGGGCCACGTCCCCAGCTGAGACGACAACCACCTGTGTCTCCCCAGCCAGACTCTCCCCCAAAGAGCCGTTTCTTGGGGTTAAAATACAACAGTCCCAGAAACACCTGAACTGTCCCCGGGAAGTAACTCAGGTTATTCCCAGCTCAAAACCATTGCTGGGAAGAAGCCACTCTGCAAAGTTCAGTTTCTGCAAGGAAACGATGAGTCAGGACCTGGGTCTGAAAGTGCAAATCCAGCTGGAAGCTGCAGGGGGTGAGGTCCTGGGCGGCAGGAAGAGGCTGCGCATCCTGGGGCAGGGGTGAGGTGGTTCAAACCTCACACAAGAAGGGGTGAGAAAGAACTGGAGAAAAGTCTCGCCCTGGCTACGTACTACCTGTGTGAACTTGCAAAAGTCACTTCCTCTCGCTGAACTTCAGTTTTCTCACCTGTGAGACGGAACGAATAACAGAAGCTACCTGGCGTGAGGTTGTTGTCAGCATCCGATGCACGTGTGCCTGTAACGGTTCACAGCGGTCCCCTCCCCCAGGCCCACAGCTGTTCTACGTGCTGTGTATCTCACTCATTTACTCATCGCAACTGCCTTCTGATGTGGTTCTCGTTTTATCCGCTTTATAAACGAGACAGAGGCACAGAAAGTGGAGTAACTGGCCCAGGGCTGCAGCGCTCCTCAGACCTCAGAGGCAAGACCCCCATGGCCACACGTGGCTGTGGGGGCCTCAGCGCACAGGGAGGGGGCAGCCGGAGGCTGTAACGGGGAGGCTGGGGCTCAGAGCACCGGTTCCTGTGTCCGGGTCCCAATGCAGACTAAACAGTAGCCATAACTATTCATATCATCGCTGATGTTATTAATATCACTACTTGGCCTCAGCAGAAGGACCCACAAAGAGCACGCTGCCTGTTCTCCCCTGGGACCCCAAGAAGCTCACCCTACTCCACACCAGAGAAAGACACTGGGTGGCGCTTCCCAGAGACCCTGTGTGCACCCCAGCATCCCCCCTCAATGGGCACCGACAAAATGCCCACGGCCCCACCAGACAGCTGTCCTGGGACCAGTGCTTCGGCCGTTGTATCTCATCTGCTTCTGAAGTCAACAGCAGAGTTGCAAGGAGAAAAGGAAGCCAGCAGTTACTAGGGCAAGTCTCCAGATCAAGCCGATCCACGTGTGCCATTGGGCCCAGACAAGTCTGTGAAATAATATTATCGTCTCCATTTCGCAGATGAGGAAACGGGCCCGGAGGGGTCAAATCACTCGCAGCAAACCAGCAGCAAAGGGCCGCTTCGAACGCTTGTCTGTTTGAATCCAAAGGCACTTATGAGAAGTGATGGCCGGCGGGGCTTTTAGATCTAACCCCGAAGCCAAGTCCCCTGTTCCTCCTTCGTTCCTTCACCTGTTGAGTGCTTCTTAGTGGCTGTTCTGTGTGGGACGCGGGGTCAGTGACAGTAGCAACCTGGCCTCGGCTTCCTTCTGTTCCGCCGGGTGCAGGTCTATGCTAATAGAGTATTTGGAGAGATTGCTTTTTTTAAAATATATTTTATTGATTTTTTTTTATTTTTTTACAGAGAGGAAAGGAGAGGGATAGTTAGAAACATCGATGAGAGAGAGACATTGACCAGCTGCCTCCTGCACACCCCCTACTGGGGATGTGCCCGCAACCCAGATCCATGCCCTTGACCGGAATCGAACCTGGGACCCTTCAGTCCGCAGGCCGACGCTCTATCCACTGAGCCAAACCAGTTAGGGCTGGAGAGATTTCTATCGTCCCCAGGTTCTTTGAGGGCCGGCCACCAGTCCAGGGGCTGCTTTTTGGGGATGGGGGTGGGGGGCGGGAAGAGCCTCCTCCGGGGAGAATCCAAGCTCTGGGTGTTTCAGGAAACGTCTGACCCGCCAGGCTTCCAAGTGGCTGATCAGTTAGAGCTGAGGGAGGGGGGGGGCCGGGAGGGGAGGTTTCCCGTCAGCCCAGCTTTTGTCTCTCACATGAGCCCGAGACAGACAAACCACAACCACAGACTCGACCAGCTGTGGAAGCACCGAACAGGAAACCCAGAACATCTGGTGCTCCGCTTCCTCTGAAGGCCGCGCAGTCTGGGCGTGTGTGTCCGCCGGTGTGCACGTCTGCTTTCTCTCCCGCTGCTGTTTGGTGGGACGAGGATGCAGACAGGGTAGGAAACCACAGGCCCGGTGGCGACAGGGCAGCCAGACACCCGCTCCCCAGCCCTTACAGAGCCTCGTCCTCCGACAGCGGCCCAGGCTCTGCCCTGTCACACAGGCCGCCCTCCGATCCCCGGCACTTGGAGAAAAGGATTTATTTTGTTTTATTTTTTTATGTTTTATTTTTTTGCCCTTTTGGATTTGGGTGGTTTTGGAGGAGCTTGTTTGGGGAGGAGGTGGGAGGGCTCTGCTTAAATATAACTTGGCCTCAGCACACAGACCCACAAAAAGCAGCGTCTGGATGAAAGCTGTTTTTAAAACAATTTGAGGAGAATCTGCGGACGACCTCTGAGGCCGTGGGCTGGTCAGGGGGCTGTTTTCCCACTAGTGGTGGTGTCCTCAGTGTGAGGCCTGAGACAGACAGAGACTGAGAAGGGAAGAAATGTAAGGAAGTGGAAAGAAAAGATTCCTCAAACCCAGGCATGCGGTTTAAGTCTCATCAGTCACCTTTAGGAGGTAGGCATTTTATATTTATTTTTATTGATTTCAGAGAGGAAGGGAGAGGGAGAGAGTGAAAGAAACATCAATGATGAGAATCACCAATTGGCTGCCTGCCACGCACCCACCACTGGGGATCGAGCCAAAAACCCAGGCAGGTGCCCCAACCGGGAATCGAACCATGACCTCCTGGTTCATAGGTTGACATTCAACCACTGAGCCACACCAGCCAGGCTGGAGGTAGGCATTATTCTGCCCATTTTTATGAATCATGTAATTGAGGGGCAACAAGGGTAATTCACCCAGGATCACTCAGCAAGTAAGGAGCAGAGCCAAGGTTCGAAATCAAATCTGACTCCGGGACGAATCCTAAACCTTAGACCACACTTCATTCTCTCCATGAGCAGTAACAACCCAAGCCGTGCCTGGCACACAATTGTGCGATGTTTCTTGAATTAATCAGTGAAGTGAGCTGTCACCTATGGGGGAACTGTCATCATCGCTGTACCCAGGGCTCAGCATACTGCCCAGGACAGTGGGTACTTCATAAGTTTCAGAACCATGACAATTCATTTACCTGCAGGCCATGTTCTTAGCCAGGTGGACTGTTTGGATCCTGGCTAAACATCTGAAAGCAGGTTAGAAAGAACCATGAACGGTCAACATAAGTCACAAGTCCTTAAAAGTTCCCATAGTTGACTTAGAGACGTGGTCGGCAAACCGCGGCTCGCGAGCCACATACGGCTCTTTGGCCCCTTGAGTGTGGCTCTTCCACAAAATACCACATGCGGGCGCGCACGTACAGTGCGATTGAAACTTTGTGGCCCGTGCGCAGAAGTTGGTATTTTGTGGAAGAGCCACACTCAAGGGGCCAAAGAGCCGTATGTGGCTCACGAGCCGCGGTTTGCCGACCACTGGCTTAGAGGAATGCCTTTCTTTGTTAAGGGCATTCAAACAATGGAGGGCAAAGTTCTCTTCTTGGCCTTCTGGTTCTCAAATTTTGTTTTATGTTTGAATCACCTGGGGAGCTTTGAAAAATCCTAATAGCAAGGACTTCTGGTTCTGCCAAGATGGAGAAGCCTTATTCTGTCCAGTCCTCCCTCTTACAACTAAAAACCCCTGGATGTTGGCAAAAATGCTCTCCTTGACCAAACTCTAGCCAGGCTCCTCTGAGCCCCTTCTCAGGTAGGCCTCAACCTTGACCCATAAAGACTTGAACAAACACTCACATAGTGTCTAACAGCTCAAGGCTACATCCCTAGGATGACTCTATCATCCTAGTGACCCTACTCTAAGTCACTCCTTAAAGTGACTGCCTGAGAAACGCAAAGATGCCAAAGGAACTTACTGTTTGTTCCGGCCAACACCTGAAGGAAGATGGGGTCCCTGTCGTCCCCCCCCCCCCCCCCCCCTCCGTGGGGGGGGGGGGGGGTATGGTCCGAACACGTGGCCCCACGTGCCTTGTGATAGAGTTCCGGTGCATATAGTTGAGTGAGGTTGAAACTCACGAGAATGCTGTAAACAACGTGATCAAGCCCCTACTTTGCCTCCTGGCATCTGCTATAAAATAAAGACACAGCTTGTGGGCGCCGCGCTGTCTCATCAGGGAGCAGCGTCCCACCGAGACCCAGCTTTCATTCTCTTGTCTGTCTTTTCTCAATCCTTTCACTGCCCCACTCAGGATCACCTTTGGCCGTAACAGCTACTATTATGAATCGTAATGTAAATATCTGATATGCAGGATGGTCTTAGGCGACCCCTGTGAAAGAGTCGTTCGACTGCCAAAGGGGTCGCGACCCACAGGCTGAGAACCGCTGGTAGGTGGTCTGATAGAGGAAGCTTGCTGGCAACAGCAATTTGGGGATTCAGCTGGCATTTTCAGACTGGTAGGTGGTGTATGGATGCAACGAGGCATGCGCCAGAAGAGGTAAGAGACTAACAAGACAAAGTGAAGGAACTGTCTGATTCTGGGACATCTGCCCTCAAAATAGCACCCAGAAAGCCAGCGGGACTGGCACCCCCGATGACTTCTCCGGCTAAAATTAAAGGCGCTCCAGCGAGGGCTGGCAACACGAGCCAATCTGAGGTGACACATGCGCAGTGTCCCAGGCTGGGGAGCCCTCTCTGCAGAGCCCTGTCTCCCGAGCCAAAGCTGACATCGTTTTAGCGCCGCTGGGTGCGTGACGTCATCCTAACGCGCCTCCGCCGTGCGGAAGCCCTGAGCTGGGACTGGCGTAGGCGTTGCTGTGGAGACGGTGCGTTGATCCCCGCCCCCGAGAGGGGATTGGAGGAGAACTGGTCAGCTGACGTTGGTGAGGTTCCGGAAGCGCGTGAAAGGTCCGGTGGTAAGCTCTCCGCGTGGGTTCCCTTGGCAACCCGGACGCTCTCGCTCTGTCCGGACCGGCGATCCCAGGAATCCCCAAAGGTAGAGTCAGAGCACAAAATTCAGTTTGTTGGGTTTCTTAAACTAGAATAGTAAATATCGGAAGTGCCACTGGTCCAAGGAAAGTAAAAATTCAAGCTGCTCTAGGTCGGATTCTGCGTGGGGCAGGAGGCCCCAGTAAGGCTTGAATGTGTTGCTCTTCGGCGCAAAACCTTCCCAAGACTCCGCTGTCAGAGTAAAAGCCAACGTTTTTTCATGGCCAGACATTCCTGCACCACCAGGTTCCTGAAACTCACTGCGTCCCTCTCCTAATTTTGACCCCCTCGCTTTACTCCCGCCACATAGGTCATTGGCCGTGCCTACTTCTGCCTCTGGGACACAGAACTTACTGTCCTCAAACATCCCCAGGGCTCCCTCCCTCACCTCATTTGAAAAGGCCTGACTCGAAAAGGCCTCTAATCTCCTGATTTTACAAATCTGACTCCCTGATCCCACGTTCCCGTTGGGCTCCATTGCATTTGTCACCTAATATACACTAAAACTTATTTCTTTATCTTATTTGGTGTCCTCTCTCCATATGAAGGCAGCAGTTTTGTCTCTTTTGTCATCGCTGCATCCCTAGTTCCTAGATAGAAGCTGGCACGTGGTAGGTGCTCAGTATTTGTTGAGTGAATGGATGTATTTCAAAATTAGAGGGTTAAGTAGTGGTTAAGTGACAGAGCTTTAGGGGCTTGGGTTCCAGCCCCCTTTGTCACTTAGCTGCTTTGTGACTTTTAGGAAGTTTAACCTTTCTGAGTCTCGGTTTTTTATATTGTTTTAAATTACATTTTTATTGATTTCAGAGAGGAAGGGAGAGGGGGGGAGAGAGAGAGAGAGAGAGAGAGAGAGAGAGAAACATCAATGATGAGAGAGAATCATTGATCCTGGTTCATAGGCACATCTCACACTAGAGAATGAGCCCAAAACCCAGGCATGGGCCCTGACTGGGAATCAAACCGTGACCTCCTGGTTCATAGGTCAACACTCAACCACTGAGCTACCCCGGCCTGGCTCAGTTTCCTCATTTTTTATATCAATGAAATGATACTTCTGCCTTTCATTCAACAATATGAAACACCTCCCCGTGTGACCAGCACACGGCTGGTGGCTGGAGTCGTAATGGAGAACCTCAGTGCACATGTTTCCTCCCTCCCCTGGAGTCTATATCCTGAGGAAGCGTTACAGACAATAGCCATACAGTCATCCAAATAAACGGTTATTCACAAATTGTGACGGAGGACAAGCAATTAGTGCTAAAGGGGTGAGGGTGGGAAAGAGCAGTGACTTCTTCATTCTATTAGTCAGCTTGGGCTGTCGTATGAAATGCCACAGGCTCGGTGGCTGAAACAACGGGAATTTATTTCCTCACAGTCCTGGAGGGAAGAAGTCCAAGATCAAGGTGTCAGCAAGTTTGGTTTCTCCTGAGGCCTCTCTCCTTGGCTTGCAGGTGGTCACCTTCTTGCTGTGTCCTCACACGGTCTTTCCTTTGGGCACTTGCACTCCTGGTGTCTCTCCCGGGGTCCTCATCTCTTCCTGTAAGGACACCAGTCAGATTGGATTAGAGCCCACCCTAGCGGCCTCATTTTAACATAATTACCTCCTTAAAAGCACCACCAGGCTTGAAATACAGCCCGGTTCTGAGACGCTGGGGTTTAGGACTTTAGCAGATGAGCTGGGAAGCACAATTCAGCTCAAGCATTAATTAAGATCCAAAGGATGCCTTCCAGGCAAAGAAAGGGATATGAGTAGACATCCTGTGACAGGAAGGACTGTGACAAGTTGGAAGAAATGACAGGCCCATGTGGCCTGAGCTCAGAGTGAGGGGCCTTGGTCGGGCATTGCGGCGTTGTCGGTAATGCGATGAGTTGCCTCATGAAAAAGTACTCTCGCCACCAATGGGCTGGAAGGAGGCGACCCCCGGCTCCAGAGTGGAGTGACAGTGAGGGCTCCCTGGCAGGCGGCATATGAGTGTCTTACAGGGAGGGCTCAGGGAGGGGTTTTAAAATTAATTCAATGTGTTTGGGGGACATTGGTTAATAGGCTCACATAGGTTTCACGTGTACATTACTGCGATACGTGAACTGCATGTCGCATTGTGGACCCACCACGCGTGGCCATGAGTGTTTCCCGTCGATGGGAAGACTGGACGGAAGAGAGGCTAGGAACGGACTTCATCCACTGAAGTGGTGAGCAAAGAAATGTCCGAGCACACTAAGGAGAGGCATTCCAAAGTACTGAGTCTCTGCGTTCCGGGTGCTGGATACAGTGTGATTTATGATGGATGTGGTTTATGATGAAAACGGGAAGTTTCGGATGAAATTAATGCAAAGGAGGAAAGGTGTAGAGAGAGCAGTTGCACACGTCCCCATTTGTCGGTCTACTGGGAACCAAAACCCGTAAGGGTTGTGCTGGGCAGCAGGAAGTTTTCTCACTCCATTCCCAGAATTCGGTGCCAGGAAATGGAACCTGCTGTGGCCTCCCACCCACCATCAACTCGAATGGTGACTCCACCCTTTGATGATTTAACGCAGACAAGACTCACTGCCTCTTTCCCTCGGAGGAACCACAGTGAGCACTGCATCCCCGTGGCTGCAGAACTGTGACCGTCCTCTCTGACGCCCTGGACTAAGGGCCATCGGCCAGGGATTGGGAAGGTACAAGGAAGCCCATTCTAATTGGGGACAGAATTGATGGTTAGAATCTGCTTGGTCATATTAGGCCACATCTATCTCTTGTAAATCCTGGTCTGGCCTTCAGGAGCGACACAGACAGACCCTAACCCCTCCTCCTGATAGCAACGAGTGGTTGACAGTAGCTGTATGGTGCCCTTCTGATGCCCCAGGTCTTCTGTTCCCAAACTGAACATCGGCTCCAAAAGTATTCTTTCCTTAACAGTGCTTTTGTGCATATCCTTCTGCATAACCCTTTGCATCCTTGTCTTTGTTTTTCAAAACGTATTTTTAATTGATTTCAGAGAGGAAGGGAGAAGGAGAGAGAGATAGAAACAACGATGAGACACGTTTCGATCGGCTGCCTCCTGCACGGCCCCTGCTGGGGATCGAGCCCGCAACCCGGGTATGGGCCCTGACTGGGAATCGAACCCAGGACCTCTTGGTCCATGGGATGACGTTCCACCCACTGAGCTACACCAGCTGTATTTTTAATTGATTTCACAGAGGAAGGGAGGAGGAGAGAGAGATAGAAACAACGATGAGACACGTTTCGATCGGCTGCCTCCTGCACGGCCCCTGCTGGGGATCGAGCCCGCAACCCGGGTATGGGCCCTGACTGGGAATCGAACCCAGGACCTCTTGGTCCATGGGATGACGTTCCACCCACTGAGCTACACCAGCCAGGCTGTATACTTGTCTTGGGATACATTTCTATCCACTAACCTGGTGGGACAAATGGTGCCTGTTATAGCTTTCGCTGTACATTTCCAGATTGACCCCCCAGGAAGAGAGCTTTTGTTTATACGGCCACGGCGGTTTAGAGAGAGCCTGTTTCCCCACGCCCTAGCCACCAGACCGGGGGAGTTTTCACTCTTTTAATCATTGCCCGTCCCGTCCGATAGGGGAAAGTAATTATCTCCTGGCTGCTTTCATTTGCATGTCTTTGATTGTGGGTGAGGTTGGACATGTTTTCCAGCCCCATCCTATACTTTTGCAATCAAGTTTTGGAGCCCAGCACAGGGCCTTGCATGTATTCCAGTTAAATTTCATCTTGTTGGATAGAATCATTCTTTCCTGCTGAGATAATTTGGATCCCGATTCTGTAATTCCAACATATTGGCCTCCCCTCCCAGTCCCGTGTTATTTGCACAGTTGATAAGCAGTTATCTTTGGCTTTATCCAAGTTGTTGATAGAATGTTAAAGGGTTTGGGGCCAAGGACAGAACTGTTTGGCAGGCCATGAGAGAGCGCCTGGGGACCGCACTGTCCCATCTGCTGCTAACATTCCGCCTCGCTCGGCAGTGGGTGGGGCCTTCGCCTGGGGCGCAGACCCAGCCTTGACACTAAGTAGCTCCGTGGCCCAGAGCAGGTGGTACCCCCTTAAGCGAGCATGTGCCACCTGATTTCCTAATGTCCCTTCGAGCTCTGGCCGTCTTGGTCACTCTTGTCCGTGAGGATTTCATGAGAAGCCCTGACACTGCTGTCAAAAGCCGTTGCACTGTGGCAGAGGAAGTGCTCACCTGATTTATAATCCAGTGAAAGGCATTCCTTTGATCATCGATACTGACCTTTGGAATCCCCTTTCTAAACACTGGTCAACCATTCATTTGATTATCTGCTCCAGAATTTGCCCGTGATCAAAACTAAGCTCATTGGCCTTAAGTTTATGCAATTCATCCTTTTTTTTTTTTTAATTTAGGACGTTTATCTCAATTCCCCACGATTCCTGGAAATACCCCGAGACCTCAGAGGTGCTCGGCGCTCCCTGCCGAGGCTTGTCAGCGCCGATTACTTCCATCTCACGAAGGAACAGCCACTGGGCTTGCCTCCTCCCGCCCCAGCGTGGCCAGGGGGCCCCGGGTATCCAGAGGGAATTCATAAACAGCCTTGGCCGTGTTGACAGGAAACTGGGCAAATGGCTTAGGTTACGGGGAAAGGAGGCCTCTGGGAGACTCAGATGCCAGCTGCTCTCGTCATCAGCCGGAGAAGCAGCCCCGGGGCCTGGGACGGGCACCTCGGTTCTTCAGCTCCACGTATAGCGCAGAGCGGAAGCATCCACGGCCTCGTCTTCGGGTGAAACGGTGACACATTCCGGCGCCTTTCTTGGCATCACTTTACTCTCAACAGTCGGACAAGACGATTCTAAGGAAGGAATAGCAAGCATAAGCCCCGGGTGACAGATAGAAAGAAACTAAAAATGAAATTGGTAAGCGATTTAAGCGACGCAGTGAATCGGTCCCAGCTGAGTCACCTGGCTTTTTGTCGCCCTGCCTGGAATGCCGCTGTGGGTTCACACCTCGTAAAGGTATCACGGGATCATGTCCATTCGGATTGTCTGTTCTTACTCCTTCAGACTAGTAATGGCCGTGACAGTGACCACAGAGGCTAACGCTCGGCTCTTCCACGCGGCAGGCTCTGCTGAGTGCTTCGCAGGAATGAACCCCGGACGCCTCCCGGCCAGCGCCCCTGTCCAGCAGGTGCTGTGTCCACTTGTGTTTCCCAGGTGCTGAGATGGAGGCACAGAAGAGAGTCTCGGTGACCTGCCCCCTGGTCGCCCGTCACCCCAGGGGCAGAGCTGGGGAGGGACCCGGGGCCCCTGGCTCCACACTTCAGCTCCGCTGCTTCCATGTCCGTGAGGATAAGGGAGGAACCGCTTTTGCAAATTGCTTCTCCCAGAAGGTGGAACCGCATCACACACAGAGGAGTAACACACCGACTCCTCCATCTCCCAAGTGAGAAGGAAGGAGGAGCGAGGGGGGAAAGGGAGCCAAGGACAGACAGGACCCACCTGTGGCCCGGGTGCGCGGCCTCTGAGCTAAGCGGGAGGAGGGGGGCGGGGGCGGGGTAAGCCAACGTGAGAGAGGTGCCCGCGACGTCGAACACAAACACCGGGACCCGGGATTGCGCCCGAACCCGGATCATGGGACAGACCCTGCTCTCCAACCCGTCTTCCAGCAACAGGATCCCAGGGCCAAGTGCGGTAACCGCTGGCCAGCAGAGCGCTCCGGGCGCGGCCAGGACTGCATGCCAACCGCCGGGCTCCCAATATTGTCTTCCAGTTGCTAGACGACGCTGCTTTCCAGTACATTATCTGGGGTATAAAAGCTGAAATGTAAGTAAAGCATTTTCATACAAATAATTTCAACCGCAACAAGGCCATTGGCTTCTGATGGAGTTGGCAGGAAAAGGTAATGAACTCACTCCGATGGACATATTCAGCGTTCCTCCGGCCAAGTCCAATTGGCAGCTTCGTAATGATGGAAACGTCCCTGTTATTTCCACTCCACCAGGGCTAGGCCCGCTGGTATCTGATTCAGTGTTTACTTCATGAATGAGGTCAGTTCCCAGCACAGCTGGGGTTTCGGCAGAGGGCTCGCGCTGCTGGTCAGCACACAGCGTTCCCACTAGAACCTGACCGGAGCTGACAGGGCTCCCAGGGCCCCCTTCCCGCAGCCTGCCCAGGGTGGCCACTGTCTCTGGCATTTTCTGGGGTCTGGCCCCGCTCGCTGCTCTGCTAGCCCCTTCCCTGCAGAGGCCGACAGAGCCCGGGCTGCAGCCTGGCACACCGAGGGCACGTCCAAGTTCCCCACAACCCAGCACTCACCCTCCAACTTGCCCCCTTGGTATTGCGACATCTCACCCCGTAGGAGCTTCGGAGCTGCCAGGAAACAGGGTAGGTTTGTTTGTTTTGTGTTTTTAAAATTATTTATTCCAGGATGGCTCCACTTGTGTGGTGAGAGAGTGACTCAGAGTGCCTGGGACGCCACCTCCAAAGGTAACCATGTCCCACAGGCCGGCGTGTCCCGGGCCAACTCCCCACACTGGTCAAAAACAAAAACAAAAGCTCCCACGGGCCCAGAACACTCCTCTGCACGAGCACACACGTATGGAGCCGTGTCCTTGCCGCTCGCGGAGGGACTGGGGAAACTGCGGGGCAGTAAGGAAAGGGGGCAGCCCGCAGCCTGACAGGGCTCAGCTCCACGCGGCTTCAGAAGCCGCCAGGGGCGCGCCCGTCCCTGGCCTGTCCCCCCGCGTCCTGAGCCGTGCGAGTGGCCGTGGGCCCCGCGCAGCGTGGGGTTGAAGTCCGAGGCGGCTCCGTGGCGATTTCTCATCTCAGTGCCGTCAAGTGGCAGGAGGCTCAGAGAGAGCCATTGGTTTGGATCCCAAAGTAACTGGGCATCAGACGCTCGAGCAGGGTTGCCGAACGAAGTCTGGGGGTGAAGCTGGAGCGGGAGGTGGTTTAAGAACGGGGTGCAAAGGCAGACCCCTGAGGAAGCGCCCCCTTTCTCAGCCTCCACGAGGCACAGTGTGTTCCCAGCGCCACGTTCTCGCCTCCTAACAGGGTGGTGAGACCCTCGGCCGCTGATGCAGACGCAAGAATAGAACCGCGTGGAGGAGACGCCGTCCCAGCTTTCTTCCTTAGCCCTGAGCAGGGGCCGTGTTAGGTGAAGACTCGGCGCTCTCCTACCTAAAGGGTCCGTCCGGCTGCCACAGGAGGACGCAGAGCATCTCTCCCGACTCGAGAGTCGACATTCCTGTGGGGTCCAGAGAGCCTGCTCAGGGCCATTCAGGTCCCTGCTCTTCCACGCGTCCTCGAGGCGCAACCTGCCTCAGACCCCAGATGCTAGGCCGTCACCCCGCTCCTGGCACCCCAGTGCTAGTTCCTGCCATCAGTCCTGTAGCCTGTCTTATCCACCGTTGTCCCAGTCACGTCATCGTATCACCTACCTGGTCTTTCCCCTCGAAGATGCTGCTGGAAGTTTTTGAAGATGGGCCCTAGCAAAGCTCATTCATTCGCACTCTCTGGTCCCATCGCCGACGCTTTCTGCCCGCTCGGCTGCAGCTGCATGGCCGCCTTGCTGAGACGTGAACTCGCCACTCGCCGACCTCAGGGCCTTGGCACGTGCCATTCCCTCCGCCTACAACACTCTTTCCAGGTCGTCCACACGGCACCCTCCCTCCTTCCCTCACATGCCCAACATTCGGTGAGACCTCCCCACCACCCTGGTCCCTGGTCCCTGCACCTTCCACACACGCCCCCTCCTTCGTGTGATTTCCCACGAGCTCCCATCCCCTCGAAAACAGCCCACGCGGCTTGTGTCTTCCTTATCTGCCTTCCCCACTGGATGTCAGCTCCACGCAGGCAGGGAATTTTCACACTTTTATTCGCTGCCACAGCCCCCCGCCCAGAACCATACCCGGCGTATCCACAGGAATCAAGGCGTGGCCCCTGCACACCAGTCACTCGCCTCAGCCCTGGGCATTTCTGCCAGTTTCCCCAGTGACTGAGGACTTCACCCTCCGTGAAGCGCTAAGCAAGCTCTTGAAGCTGCAGGAAGCTGCGTGCCGGTTCCCGGGCGAGCCGTGTGGACAGGCCATGCTCTGCCTCCGCCGCCCCTGCACCGCCCCCGGGACTCTGTGTGCCCCGCTTTCCCAGGGCCCGGCAGGCGGGTCCCTCCAGAGGAAGACAGAGCCTCGGTGACTGAGGAAGGCAGGTGCCCTCCTCCAGGGCCCCGGCTCCTGGCTTCCGTGAGCTCCCGGGAGGAAACCATCTGCAGGCTGGCGCTCGCTGGTGTGAGCAGAGCTCTCCCTGGTCGGCTGTGGGTGAGGCAGCCTCGCAGGCCGGCGGCCATTACCCAGGCTTTCCAGACGGCGATGCTCAAGCCACGGGCAGAGGGACAGCAGCCCGCTGGAACGTCTGGGTAAGGGACACCCGAGGGAGCAGGCCTCCGTCGCCCTCTCGGCCCAGCTGTGACCCTGTATTTCTCAGCCCACCGTGGTTACACACCGACCCCCCACCCCGGAGACCCGTCCCCGAGGCTCACCCATCTTTCTGCTTTGAACACTGACAGCTGGTTACCCCTCACAGATCAGAACGACGTTTCTTTCATCTGCCTTGAAAAGCCTTTTGTGAGACAGGGAGTGACCCACCAGTAACCTCTCTATTCCTGTCTGAAGGGGAAATACTTCCAGATCAGAGACCGCGCGGCGGTGCCAAGACCGGGCATATATGAATCCTGGATTCTGCCTCCCAGGCCCCGTCCCTAACCCCGTGCCAGTCGCCGCTTCAGAAACGAGCTAGCGACGGAGCTGAGCCATCGCGAATCGGGGGGGTTGATTCTTTCCCCCTATTAAGTCGTTTGAAACCAACGTTTCCACATTTTGGGGGGTTTGATGTCATAAAATTCCCATGTCTGACTGCATTTTGGAAAACAGAGTCTGTATGTGTGTGTGTGTGTATGTGTGTGTGTGTGTATGTGTGTGTGAATGCGAGAAGTAACTCAGCAGCATGTGACTTAGGAAATAAGCCCCTGAGCTCGGAATCCGAGATGCGCAGACGGAAGGGCCGCGGGCCGCGGCCTGGGCTGCCGCGGGCCGCAGCCTGGGCTGCCGCGGAGTCATGGGACATGAGGACTGGCCCTGGCTGGCTGGTCCTTCTGCAAAGACCCGGTCCGCCGGGCGCCAGCTGTCGGTACCCCAGGTGCAGCGTCAGCGGGCTTCTATTTAAAACTCTCGCACCTGGCGCCCGGACGGTCCTCGTTCCCAGGTGCCCTCTCCCCCTCGGATTCTTTTCCGCCTTCCCCTCCCCGTGTCGGCCTGGTGAGCCCAGCCCGCTGGCATGGAGAGGGGCATGAGTCATGGGAGCTGGGCAGGGGGGGCTTTTACCTTGGCTGCTGCCGCCAGGCCCAGAGGCAGACAAGACAGCCCTGGAAACTGCCGGGGGAGAGGCGGCCCGGCGCCCGGAGGTGGGGGAGGAAGGCTGGCTCCCTTCCTCGTGTTTAAGAGACGGCAAAGGCAGGCACGCACTGTTTTATGCCTTCACAGACTGCTCTAGGCGGCCCTCGGATGTGCCCGGGCCCCGGGGGGCCTTACCTAAATAAGCTCCAGATCTGTCAACATCAGTTGGGGGTGGGGGGGGAGATTTAGAAGGGGGGTGAGAGAGGCCCAGCTGGTGTTGCTCAATGGTTGAGTGTCAACCCGTGAACCAGGAGGTCACAGTTTGATTTCTAGTTGGTCGCCCAGATTGGGGGCTCCATCCCCAGGGGAGGGCGTGCAGGAAGCAGCCGATCAACGGTTCTCTCTCATCACTGATGTTTCTATCTCTCCCTCTCTCTTCCTCTCTGAAATCAATGGAAATATATTAAATATAAAATTAAAAGGAGGGGGATGAGGGAAGCTGGGAACAAGGAAATGGAGGGATAGGCAGCAAAAGCAACCTAAGGAGGAGAGCAACTAAGACAGTGTCGGGCCCGAGCCCACGGTTTTCATCGTCCCCCAGGTCCAAGTCCCACACCTTAATCACGGAGCGGGCAGTGGGGGGCTCAGATACTCAAGGACGGCGGTGTGCGACTACGGACTTTGCTCCTATGTGGTCCCGATCGTGTAAAACTTGCCAGTTCTGGTCCTCACAGGGGCCTCTTCCTGCTCCTGCTCCTCCTCCTCTTCCTCCCGGCACAGCCACCATCACGGACAGGAGCAGCCGGCCCGGAGCAAGGCAGCGCTCATGTTATAGAAGCTCTCCAGGCTGGCTCCACAGAGACAGGGACGCTGCACAGAGGAACAGAGACATTCCAGAGATTCTTCACGTGCAAGCGGATATTTCCTCTGAGCGTTTCTAGACTAAATAACACGCCTTGTGTCTACAGGACGGGGTATACTGCTGGCCTGGCAATGCTCTCCGCACAGGGTGAGCACAGGGGGCCCGGGCGCCTGGGGGGAGAGGAAGGTGAGGCTGCCTGAGTCACGTCTCTCCTGGGAGAATATCTCCCTCCACTGACACGACACCCATTTCAGATACGGAGGGGGATTTTGTTGGCAGACCTTGGTAATGAAATGGGCTGGACTTCTGAGAATAAATATACCTGGGCCTCTCATTAACCATGAGGATGGAGAGAGAGAGAGAGATATGATTGGTTGCCTCCCGCATGAGCCCCTACCAGGATGGAGGAACATGCAACAGAGGTATGTGCCCTTGACAGGGAATCAAACCCACGACCCTTCGGTCTGCGGGCCAGTGCTCTAACACTGAGCAAACCAGCCAGGACTCATGTATATATTTTTTAAAATATATTTTTATTGATTTCAGAGAGGAAGGGAGAGAGAGAGAAACATCAATGATGAGAGAGAATCATTGATCGGCTGCCTCCCGCACGCCCCACACTGGGGACCGAGCCCACAACCCGGGCATGTGCCCTTGACGAGAATCAAACCCAGGACCTTTCAGTCCGCAGGCCGATGCTCCATCCACTGAACCAAACCGGCCAGGGCTCATGTATATTTTTAAAAGACTTTATTTTTTAGAGCAGTTTTAGATTCATAGCAAAATTGAGGAGCAAGTACAGAGATTTCCCATAGATGCCCTGCCCACCCCACATGCACAGCCCCTGCCCCACTACGACCATCCCCCACCAGATGGGACACTGGTTACAATCAGTGAACGTACATTGCACATCATTGTCACCCTAAGTCACATTAAGGTTCACTCTTGGTGTTGGACATCCTGTGGATTTTGGCAAACGTGTAACGACATGTGTCCACCATTGCAGCGTCATGCAGAGCCATTTCACTCCTAAAAACCCTCCCCTAGGCATCCCTCCCTCCCCCCTGATCACATGGTCTGCAGCCTTTTCAGATTGGCTTCTTTCACTTAGTCATATGCACCTCGGGTTCCTCCATGTCTTTGCATGGCTTGGTAGCTCATTTCTTCGGTGCTAAACAATATCCCATTGCCCGGGTGTAGCCATTTTCATCTACAGGATGTGGCGAAACTAGGTCTACAGCTGTGGCTTGGATGTGCATCTCTCTGATCGTGAGTGACATGGAGCATCTCTCCACGTGTCTGTTGTTGGCCATCTGCACGTCCTCGGCGGAGAAGAGTCTATTCAGGCCCTTTGCCCAGTTTTTAATGGGCTTGTCTGTGGTTTTTCTGGGGGGCGGGGTGTTGAGTTTTACAAGTTCTTTCTAAATGTTGGATGTTTACCCCTTATTCGATGTATCATTGGCAAATAGGTCCTCTCCAGAGGGTTGTTTTTCCATTTTGTTGATGGTTTCCTTTGTTGTGCAAAGACGTTTTAGTTTAATGTAGTCCTATTTGTTTATTTTTTCTTTTGTTTCCTTTGCCCAAGGCAATATATCAGAAAAAATATTACTAAGAGACATGTCGAGATTTTACTGCCTGTGTTTTCTTCTAGGAGTTGTATCATTTCGAGTCTCGCATTTAAGTCTTTAACCCGTTTTCAGTTTATTCTGGTGCCTGGTGTAAGAAGGTTTCATGTTTTTGCACGTATCTGCCCCGTGTGCCCAACACCACTTACTGAATAGACTCTCTTTACCCCGTTGTATGGTTTTGCCTCCTTTGTTAGATATTAATCGACCATAAAGCTGTGGGGTTCCTCCTGGGCCCTCTACTCTGTCCCATGGATCTGTGTGCCTGCTTTTAGGCCAGTGCCATGATGTTTTGATTACGATGCTTTTAAAAGTCTCTCGTCACAGATCCGCCAGATTCTCCCTGGTGCCGCAGTGTCTCTACCGTCACCGAGTCTGGGAACTTTAAAGCTCTCTGAGGCCCGGAGGAAGGAGGTGGTGACCTGAAGTTACATAACCGACATGAGCAGCGCTGAGCTAGCCTGAGAGTGTAGCCCGCCTACTTGCAGGAAACCCTTTAATCCCCTTTGAGAAATCCGGCAGAAAAACCAATGTTAGACCGGAAATTCAACTACTCGCAGCCTCTACGGCAATCCTATCTAGAAAGGTCTGCGTACAACCAACGCCAAGCTGAACGTCCCGCGAGAGAAAAGCAGGTGCTCAGGCTATTCCGACCTCCTGGTCAGGTGTTGCCAAGAACCTGCCTCTTCCGTCCTAACGGCTTGATACACACACGCATGCCTTGGAGGCCGTCACTGGGTTACCACCTGCATTAGCTTAAACCAAGGTTAAAGTGCCGCCCCAACTGATGAACTTGGGCAGCGATAGTAACAAGTGTAGTGTGTGTGTATCTCGCTGCGTTGGGACTGCCCCTGGAGAACAGAACCTACTGTGCGCACACGTAGTGTCTTATCCACACAGGACCGTGAGGACGGCGGGGAGGAGGCAGGGGAGGAAGGAAAGGTTGCCCCGAGCACAGTCACCATCTCGGCTGAGGTGGCTGCTCAGGGAGACAGACACTGACGCTCCCCACCCCTCCTCCCCTACCCCTCCTCCTGCGCCCCTCCTCCTGTGCCCCTCCTCCCCACTCCGGCTGGGAGGGCCGCTGTGCCTGGCTCTCTCAGACACGTGCATGGCCCTCTTCCGGCCCGCCCTGGGAGAGGTTTAGCTTCGCTTCTGTAAGAGACCGACAGGACTGGCCCTGCTCCTGCCCCTTCTTCCCGCCTGGACGGTGGGCGCGATTCCCGGAGCTGCAGCAGCCACCGGTGACCATGCGGTGGCCAGCCAGCCCTTCAGTCCACAGTCTAGTCACCTCGTGCCCAAAGGCCACTCCAGCTGCCAACCCTCTCTCCCCGGGTGTGACTATGGCAATAGCAGGGCATGGGAAATGCCCGGAACATCATTCAACCAGAGGAGACAACTGCTCTTAAAACTAAACGCTGGCCTAGCACGCTCAGCGAATACAAGTGGAACAGGAAGTTAAAAGACTATTCTGCTTCCATTCTGGTGAAGGTCCCGAGGCAGAGCGCAAACCAGTGGGCGCCAGCTACTCCTGCATTTCGAAGTGAGGCCCTAGGCCGGCCCAGAGAGCTGTCTGTGGACCTGTGACCCCACGGGTGGAGGCTGGCAAGGCCAAGAGGGGGAGGTTGGGAATGAGATGATTACTTTAAGGAGAATTGTTGGATGCTATGGCACTTCCCCCACACTTCCACCCCACCATGATGAGAGGAGGGCCTGTGAACTTCCAGGAGGCCCCTGCAGAGACGTACGTCCCCAGGAGCTTGGGGACCGCACAGCCGGTGTCTGTACATGCCCACGAGATCTAAACAGCAAAAAGCCCTCAGTCAGAACAAGGAGAGGTGGCTGCCCGGGTGGGTACCGAGTCCCACCCCCTGGGGCTTGCCCAGCGACCAGATGTGGGCATGAGAGAGAGCGGGCCCGAGGGCTGCTGGGGAGAGGGGCTAAGGCACCAGCTAAAGAGTCCTCATGCCCCTAAGGGAGCCACCGTGAGCAAACCCCAGCTCATGGGGTCTCCAAGGAACCCCAAAACCCCTTCCCA